GCTCCAGTTAGGCTGAAGCCGTCGGTAGTGGAGTGAGCGTTGATGCAGTTATCTGGAACACTCAAAGGTGTGTTTGATCGTCTGAAGAACCACATCCTCCTTCCCAAGCCTCCGAGCTCTGGAATTGGTGACCCAATTCGCGGTTGGATAGGTAACACTTTGCTTCAAGAACAAAATGTGAGTCCGCGACGCCACCTCTGACATTATCGATGTTCAAAGCGGAGTGCCACAGGGCACAGTACTTGGCCCACGCCTATTTCTGATTTACATAAATGACCTTGCGATAGTGATCAATTCAATTGTTTACTCTCCGCTAATGATCTCAAGACATGAAGAGCCATCAAAACAAAGGGTGACCATGTAGCACGACGCCAGGAGCAACAAGATAGGTGACCCAGAACTTGCCTCATTTCAACGCCAACATGTGAAATACATTGAGCATACGTCGTCAGGTCACTTGCAAATAACGTATTGCAGCGTGATACTACTGAATGCAATCTAAGTGTACAAGAGGATCTTGGCTGCTCACGTCAGATCGAGAATATATCCAAAAAAGCTAAACAACACCTTGGTCTTTTGCGGAGAGCATTCGGGCGTTTGAAGTTCAACCTTCTCTCAGATGCTCACTGCCTACATTGGGCCCCATTCACGCCTGATAGCCCTGGTACAAGCACGACCTCACCGCACTGGAACTGCCACAACGAAGAACGTAATGGGTCTGTTTCATCTTCCTTACTGAGGCTGAAAACATCGACGCCTGCATGGCGATTTAATAATGACATACGAGGTGTGTTCACAAAGAAACCGAACTTCTTCTCATTGCACAACATATTAAGCACTTCCCTCTCCAGACTGTTCCTCTCTACTGGCAATGCACCGATCCTAACGGTGCTTCTATTTTTGGAAAGCCTCCTGGAACGCACTTTCTGGGATGGCGTGCAGGTCTCTTGTCGCATTGTCCTGAATCTCCTCTATGGTTTGGAAACGACGTATTTTCAACATGGTTTTAAGTTTGGGAAACAGGAAAAGGTCTGCAGGGGCTAGGTCCGGAGAATACGGTGGATGGGGCACAATGTGAGTGTGGTTTTGCTAGATGGCTCCAAGTAAGGAGCGCTGCGCGAGCCTGGCACATTGTCATGATGCAACATCCAAGCCTGATTTTCCCACAGTTCAGGCTTCTTCCTGCGCACAGAATACCTCAAACACGCTAGCATTTGATGGTACGGTCCTATGCTGATGCGTACTTCGTCAGCAACTTCACGAACAGTTAAGCGACGATTTTCACGGATCACAGCACGAATTCTCTCAACATGGTCATCGTCTGTTGATGTGGAAGGTCGTCCCAGATTCGAATCTTCACCGACAGACATTCTGCAGTGTTCAAAACATAAACTCTGCGTGTGACTCAAAAAGTCCTTGTCGTATGCATGGCTAAGTAACCGAAATGTCACTGTAAAAGTATTGCCAAGTTTGTATCAAAATTTCGCACACACACACACACACACTGTTCTTCAAGCTCTTTCATTGTCTCTTTGGCACTAATCCGACGAACAGGTTGTGCACGTGCTCACTTCAGCGGCCGTAGCTCGCCAACTGTCAAAGCGAAATGCGGCAAAAGGCAATTTGTTGTCTAGACAAGCCTCCACATGCGCTCAGTAGCCGCAGCGGGCACTCCCTCTGCCGGTTGGTGCGTTATTATAAAAGTTCGGTTTCTTTCTTTTGAACACTCCGCGTATGTGATCCTGAGGAATCTAAACCATCCTTATCATCACCTTCTGAAACCCAGTCACAATACTACTCTGAGGTCATCAGCAAAGCTGGATACACAGTATAGTCGGTTGGAATGCCGCCGGAATTACTCTTTCCTTTGTATGTGCCGTACTTGGTACTCTCTCCCCTCTACGCTGTTTCTTCCCCTACACTGACGGTATCCTAAACGCGTCTCGATGATACAGTTATACATTTACATTATGATGCATGACCGAAGACCAACCTAATACCATTAATCAAGGTAATCAGTTTCACTTCCTGCACCTCGTTACTTAAACGCCGCTACCATGGAATATCGTCAGGATGTACTCATATTGCGTTTAAGTATCACATTGCAATTGCTTAATTTTCCCCCCGGAATGCGTCAACTATGGCCGCTCCAAATATTACTTTGTGCGCGCACATTCACAGTATGGTTGTGAAGCGGTGCATCCAAATCGACAGAAGCTTAAAGTAATGGTTTAGAGATCTTATGGTCTCTGCAGTTTCCACTCCAATCATACTACGAGACTTCTCAAGCAGCTGCTTCTTTACTCATGGTAAGGTATTGTTCAAGATGGGAGTCATACTAAGTCACACTGAGAAATTTAAACGACTTGGGAAAGCGGAGGATGTGACTGTGTTCGAACCTAGTATAATTCGTCATTTGGAAATGCTCATTCAGTATCGTGTGATCGACAGTCATAATGTTAAGTTTACAGCCCAGTAAATCAACCACACCGCAGCTATATGAGCATGCAAAAACGCACAGGAGCTCGGCTCGGTGGCAAATGTACCCAAGCATAAACTAGCTCGCTAGTTGGTGAATGTGATTTCTCCGCTACGTGTTCATTTGGATCTATACGGCCCCAAAGACCCTTTTGAGCTTGTAGGAGATCTCGCTAAAATGTTCTTTAGATGATGAATCCTTGTTAACTACTGTCCCGTTGCATCAGTGTTGACTGCATTTGCGAATTGACAGAAAGTGCAGGATGTTCGTTACCGACTGTACAGAAAATCTATTTCCACTTCAGGAACATACCAAATCGTCAAATTGATGGGGTATCAGCCATACTAGCGGATTACTTCATGTCGATGGTAGGGTAGGATATATCAGAGAAATTAGCCATACTACAAATGCTACAGGAATGATGTCTTGACGTTTTGTTCATCAGAGACACAGATTACATAGTTGGTAATACGTTTAAATGCATCGCATGTCAATTTGACAGTTTATTGCGAAGTTGAACAAGAGAACTGTTTTGCTTATTTGGATGTTCGTATCAGCCGCAGGGAGAACGGACAAGCAAAAATGTCTGCAGAAAAACCGCGTGATCCGACCAGTATCTGCATTTTACTAGCTTCACTACGATGCGGTGTAAGCGGAGGATTTTGAAGACTCTATTTAGTCTTGCCATTTGAATATGTCCGAGTGACTGTCCGGAAGATGAACTAGAGTTGATAACTAACACGCTAAGTACAAATGACTATCCTCGGGGATTCAACGAGTAAAGCCAAACAAGAGATCCAGTGCCCACCGGGAATAAGCAAAATGAACTTTTAGAACTGCGCTGTAAGGTTGACATTACTACACTCAGGACTACAAGCCGTCTGACTGATGCCACACAGAGCACTTTCTGCCATCTGGAAGTTGCCAGCATCGACCGGACACATAAGCTGTTGCTGCCTCTACTGAAGGAAACTTAACCTATCGAGGCCAACTCTTAGTGCACATACCGAATCGTATGTAATTGCAGAGCGTTATCTAGGCGGAAACAATAGGACCCTAAGTTCCCGAATGAAGGAGCAGTGCCAAAAATGTGTGATTATACAGCAGTCGCACCCAAGTCATGTTCGATCGGCAGACACATGTTGACCTCGGGTCATCAGATTGAGATCAACACGGTGTTCAGGGTTCCTCTGCACCAAACCAAGTCCCGACTCTACCGGCTCGCCGAGGCTGTTGCGATAAGCCAGATTAAACTGGCGCTTTGTGTTCAAAAGCAATTACCAGCCAGCCTCTTGCAGCTCTGGATGTAGAGTCAGAACATCGATATTCTTCTCCCTCGTATGTTTGCACCCTCGAATGATTGCACAGAATTACCAGTTATCATTATCGGCACTGAGAAGAGTATGAAATACATGCGTCTGCCGAGATTTGTCGTCTTCTCACTCCCTTCAAAACCTGAGTTCACATTCTGAGGACAAGATTCGACGGGCAAGTACTTCTCTTTTTCTGTGTGTACTCTTCCTTTTGCTCGTGTCGAACAAGATATATCGGAAGAACCACCAGGTCGGCTGTATAACGGAGTGATTAGATCAGCGTTAAATGCAGTATCCGCACATCTGAGTGATTCGAACTACCAGATCAAGGCGTCCATCCTATCTACTACGAGCGAAATGACACACACGAGCGGTTAGATATCGTTTAGTGGCAATGACCAAAGTGATCGCCATTCGGCTTTATGATCCTGACCTACATACACATAAGGAAGCGATGGAAAAGGAGTGGCATTTGATCTTGTGAAACAATCAGTGTTATATGAGTAGGAATTTCCTTTGTACTCTATGACTGGCCGGCTTCGCAGAGCCGTATTTTAACTCGTTGAGAATGTATCCAATTAGTTTCAGAGTTCTTGATCCGTCTTAACTTCCGGGGTGGAGTCCGCGGGAATCACCCGTGCCTGGCTCTGAAATGAACATTATATGGTTGGTCGGCGACATAAGCGGTGTGTTTGCCAGTATCCAATTGAACTATCTATACCATTTCCCGGCCAAGTTGTGCTCTTGGGCAACAGAAATAATCTGAGGGGGCATTCAACATGAGTCTACTCAATTGATTTGTTCCGTGCGTACGCCAGTCACTTGTGCAGGTGTGTAGGTGTGAGTGTATAGCCCTTCGCCTTCAGCTAATTGGACCTCAGACGCACTAAGTCATAGGGGTGCAGGTGGGACGCTTCAGCTCCTACGCACGGAACAAATTAATTGAGGAGACTCATGTTGAATGCCCCCTCAGATTATTTCTGTTGCCCAAGAGGACAACTTGGCCGGGAAATGGTATAGTTAGATGTCAAACCACCTGTGGGATAAGGACAATTATGACGTGAGATAGTGGAAGCCGTAAGGAAGCTGTCTCGTTCGTGAAGCCTTCGCACAATTGCCGGATAGTAGTGGGATTGTTGTGTGAACAAATGTTAGACACATTGACTTTGAACAAGTGTTCAGGGAATTAGGGTTGAATAAGGTTGGGTCCCCAATGAACACCCTCTCATCTCGATAGAGCCATGGTGTTTGCGCGGTAGAGAAGTAACAGTATAGAATGTCGATGAAATGCCACTGCTGGTGACCAGCAGTACTAACGGTAGGGACCAAGTAGACTAGAGCAGAGGATGTACAGTGCAACTAAGACAAAGAAGTAGTTATGCTAAGACGGTGTAGTGTGCTGCATCCTAATGAAGAACAGCCGGTTGTGGAGTGGTGTATAGTGCAGAAACGCTGGCTACCAAATACCATAGTACCGGCATCGGATACGAGAAGAGTACGTGAGACAGGCCTCAGCCGATCGACCGACCGACGAGAAACCAATTAGATCACTCGTTCATCAGAGTACGGTAAAAGACACATGATGATGGCAGAGAAAAATAGCACACACATGAGGGAAGGGTGCCGAAAAGAGATAAAACAGTGAGTGAACTGCGGAGTCACAAATGTGGTGTACACATGGCGAATCGATCCGCCACCACAGTACAACAACAACGAGCACGTGGAGAGCGAAGTGCACGACAACGCGTATCGTGTGTGTGTGTGTGTGCGTGAATGAAAGACATGAGAACGTAAGACAGCTTGTCCCGGATGCGTGGTCTCTTTCCTCCCATCAACACGCTGATACACCGAACATCGTGTTGAATTTTTCAGCCAAGGCAGTATACTCCGGATCTGAAACAAAGATTGGGAGAGAAATTAGGTGGACGATTGAAACAAAATACAAAATAACGTATTCCTTGTCCCCTACCAACGGATAAACACATGACGTAAAAGGCTGCCTAACTTGCTAGATACTCTGTACTGCTCGTCAGCAAGGTAGTGCATCCGTTAGGGCGGCTACCTGAGCTGATCCCACTATTATAGGACAAAATGCTCATATGTAAAAATTGCGAATATTTCGGTTGTGTACTTGATCATGCCTTAATCGGTGTGCTACGTTCTATCAAGAATATACCATTTATTTAGTTATTTAATATCAGAGGTTCCATGCAACACGAATTTAAAGGGGAGCAACACAACCAATAGATAAAACCTCAAGGGACGCTTGTCAAATGCATGTATGGTACCAACCGAGTGTATGCACCGCAGCAATACGGAAGTCTCAATTGGGACCACTCGAAATAAACCTTGAACGTCCCAAGCAATAGGAGTGTATATGGGAAGCAGAGGAATCGTTGGCGCTGATCGTTGCAAACACTGAATTCCACAGCCGAGTTCCCATTGGTATCGACTTGTCAGGCGGAAAGATGGAGAGAGGAAACCCGTACTTAATGGTCGGAGCAAGCAATAGCTAGAGTTGCAAACCGTATTATAACTGTCACCAGAGAAGAAGCGTCAAGCATGATGGACCTGAGGACAAACCGCGGACAATAGCAAGGATGGCAATACAACGAGGGGCATCAAAAATGCGAGGGGACAAACAGATCATTCTTGTCAGCTTAGAATGAAGCTTCTAGAAATGTACGGCAGCTTGCGGGGGATCTCACAATGGTCGGTCAGATCCTGAAGTACTCGAAAGACATGTGCTGAACAGCACCATCTAAAGTTGATAATAAAGTATAGCCGCGTGGAATGTCATTAAAATTTCTTGTCCATTCGAGTGTGTTAGCTGGGGAACGCTATCACAGCCTACGCTGATTCCATTCCTGGTCTAACAATACCTAAAAACGAGTTGACGAAGTATTGTATCATTCGCACTTCAGTTTATAAGTTGTATTATTTCAAAGTTGCAACCAGGTACTTATTATTATCCCGTAGACTTTTCGGCGCTTTTACGCATGTCCCAATGCGAACACTATGGTAAATCCAATGTTTTTCACCCCCCGGAACTTGCTGAGCATTGCTATGTGACCCTCAACATAACCTTGTTACATGAACACCCGATGGGTAAGCATTGTATGCGACCGCCTGCGTCTCAGCTGAACCGGTCTAGTGGACGAGAAACATGAACACGAAACACTGACGAAAATGCGATGGATAGGTATTAGGCATGTGAACACTGCCGTAGACGTAATGCCAACGAAGTCAAGCTACACAGGTATGCGCTGCTACATGCATGACGTCAAATTCCGTGTGTTTCACAAGGCCCAGCTGACTACGATCGATTCGAGTGTTGATGAAGTGCTGCCTATCAAAATGGTTCCACCGTTGAGAATGTCGGATCTAAAAAGCGACTAGTCTCAATTGTAGGGGATTAAACACATGCTCCTCGTGACGACGTCCAAGATACACACACACACACACACACGCACACACACACACACACACAGTGATTCTGTAGTGGAATGGGTTAATTTGTAGCCGCCGACGACAAGGCACGCGTTTATCGAACGTGCTGAAAGAGTGTGGGCTGCCCACTAACCAATCATGGCATCCAACCAACTGTTTCGAGCTCATACCATATGTGGAGTGCGCGGTGATGCATGACACTCATGGTCTCTGTACATCAAGCCTATTGTGACAACTCTCCATTACAAAGGGTTCAGTTCATTCCAGTTGAACAACTGTGATCCGGGCACCGAAGTTTGGTGAGTCCAGTTGTGTCCCGGACGACTCACATCGCATGAGTAACAACAAATAACGACGGTAACAAAATGAAGTTGAACGCAAATAGAATAGAAGAAGAAAACAGAATCAAGCGCACAAAGCTAATGCTCGGTTAGAATGAAAATTAACAGCTACACACGAGAGACCGAATGAAAGAATGCCACTAGGCTACACAACAGCACCGTCTGATAGTATTCAACCATTGATGTGGACCATCCTGAGGAGCCGGTCCACGAAGACGACACGCACCAGCCTGATCAAGTCTCTCAGTCAGTTTCCTCAAGCCACGTCATGGACTGACCACCTCGTGGTTTCGCCCAACTTGCTGCAGCGATGTCACATAATGCACGCAGAGAAAGCCAATCAATGGGGAAACGGAGGACATGGCATACACAACGCAAGCGGAGGAGCCTTAAGAAACACTGGACTGAGGCACCAGATGCCTTCTGGCCGAAGAGCAACTGCCGGATTTCTCCGCATTGCTCACTCGGTGTTCTCACGAGTTGTGAGCAACACTCTACAAGCTCCGATGAATAAACACGCCCAAACGTTTAATGTCTTCACTGCAAACCGACCAGGTCCCTGAGACATACAGCAACACGGGCAAAATCGCAGCGTTATACTCCCAACCATCCACTGACCGGTCAACATGATGCCATCTCTATAGATGGTTTAGCCTTTGAAATTTCACAGGCGCTTTGCTGATATGCGAAGTAACTTTCTCGGTGATATGACCAAAAGAGAGGGTACAGTTACCAAGATAAGTGAACCGATCAACCACATCCCCAGTGGCCGGTAAAGTTAGAAACGCACACCGTTATCCACGACCGCGACCACGGTCGAATCAGAATTGACAGTGTGTTTTGTGATTCAAGTTATTTAACATTCCCATTCTTACTGTCTATTGTTGTCCGAGTAAGTACCACGGGGCTCACAAGAACGCGCTAGAAGGATAGACACCAGCATGACTCCCCATGGAACCGAAGCATCAATCAAGACTTTCCGGCGTCAGCAATAACGATGATACCCGCAGAGTTACAGAATAATATGTACAGAGTCTGATGATGAACGAACCGAAAACAACTGTTTGCTCTGAAATCACCGCTCGCGTTTCTCTGTGATTAACAATAAATAGGCATTTTTCACCAACTTGATATGCAAAGAGCCATTATGTGAGGAATTAGTGTAACAACAGATCGACGCAGTAGCATGTTCAGTTGCGCACATACTGGGGAGAAAGTGGGGTCAGATAAAACAGGGGATCGAAAAACACGGTAAGAATTTGTGCCTTTCTACAGACTGCAATGATAGTGATGCACACGTTCATTAACTAACCGGTTAAGCATACTGGCTCTTTAAGTTGGCACTATGAGACCGAAACCAACACTGCGTCCATTAGGCTTAGAAGTAAGTAAAAGCGGCCTTGAGCACTAGTTGCTAGGGATGTGAGAGTCCGGTTAAACTCCTTAAGTTTATTGCGGATGGGCTGAAGGCTGACCAAATCTGCGGCTGAAGGTAGTGGATAAGAAACAAAGACATAAATATTGAAATCTAACACGCTACTGACATATTATATTAGTAACACAATAGCCACGAATGCTTTAGGATGATACCTTCGACAGAAGTCGGGTTGTTGGTTCCCATCTGGTAGAAGAAGCGAAAAGTGTTGTAAAATGCGGAGCGATCACCGGACTGTTCAGCCAACAAAAGAAGACGCTTGGGGAGTCCGGTTAACTGCTGAACAAACCCTGGGCGCATTTGACAAAACCTGCAGATAGAGATAGGTGCTTAAACAACAACTCCGAAGAAACGGAAGGAAAAGTGGGACTCAACTGCGCCAACAATTGAAGGAGAAGAAGCACAGCGAACGAAACGATTGGCATGGCAAGTTGATGTGCTGTCAATTCGAAGATAAACCTGATACTACAAAGCACCTAGTTGAAATGTGAAAGACGAAGCGGAAAATGATTTCAACCACATTACACCATACAGTCATGTTAGATAAGTTTCCGAATTCTGAAGAGTTGAACAAATTGGATGCCTCTACATGGATAGTATTAGAAAACGGGATTTAAGGCTCGCCTTCTCAATAAGATGTGCGTTAGTGGAGCCGATCACGCCATAACGGTGACTATGGGAAATCGAAAACCATACAAATGCATAAACACGAAAACCGCTAGTCACGAAAGTGCATCGAAAACGGATCCGGCGCACAAATTCGTGGTGTGTGATTCGCTAACCGGAACGTATGCCGCTAGGTCAAATAGAACCGATCGAACAAAAAGCTAGGTAGATCCCAAAGGGAAGTGGAGAACCGAACAATGCTGAAATAACCAACACATTATTGTTAACTTGGGCCTAAAAAATGACTGTCAAGAAGCAGAACTGAAGGGGAGGGGCGAAAGTTAACGGAACAGAATTGGCGATCCCATTTAATCATCTGGAGCGGTTCAAGGCATTGCACATTTTTAGACTTGTCCGATCGTGTGCTAATCTCTGCTTCACAGTAAGCCAAACAACGCTTAATATGAAATGAAGTGTAAAGATACCGGTACATCCGATCCGAGGATTGCAAATTCACAATGTCTATCACGGAACACGAGACCGAACATGATGAATGAATTAGTTAACTTATCTTCAGTATGCAAAGTAGCATATTGTCAGAATGTTCTGTCTGATGAACAGAAACGGAACAGAGGTCCCCAGCGTTAATCGAAAGCTGAACACTTCGGTCCAAACCAAGCGGAAGCTATTGGACCGCGTTCTACGGTTAAAGTGTGTATTGGCATCAACCTGATCGCCTATGTAGATCAAGAGCTGAACGATACCGGTTCGTTCCGCCTGCAGTAAAAGCAAACGATGCAGTTCGCAAAACAGTTTCTCAACGTCAAACTTCCGCAGCGCAGTGTCCACATCGCCCCTAGAGAACAGAAGTGTAGTAAGCTTCAAGAACAAGGATTCGCGAACGATCTCGCCGAACAACGTTAGCACAAGATGTTGGTTAGCTCGCCGAGCTCAGCAATTCGATTGCAGACGATTCGTCCTCGATCGAGGTGACGCCATCAGTGCGTAGCAGTAGAACCAATAGCTTTGATAGCATGGGCTATGCTTCACACAAATCCGGCTCACTTTAAGAGTTGGCATAAGTCTAGCCCACCGGAACAAATGCCAGCAACCATTGGGTATACAGGAATAGTTTCTAATCGGCAACAGCTGCAAACTATCGGGTTTAGAGACAACTATGCTTGGGGCGAAATCGAGAACCTTAAATGATTGCTTTGAAGAAAATCTCGAGCTTACAACCACTGCCATAAGGAGAAACGTTGGATAGCAGGATCAGGCAACTGGAACTTGCCAGGAAAGCTCACTTTCCATAGCCCTTCTTAACCCGAACCTGTGTAATCAGCAGCCTATACCACAAAGCAGTGGCTGCCTACCTGTGTGATTTACTAGCATTGATATATCGCGTCTTCTCCACCATTCTCAGCCACATCAAACAGACTGTTGTGCGGAGTGCTTTGAAAGGCAGTTTAGCAGACCTGTCGTGACACCGTTTTGTGAATCATTTGAATTCACATGGTACGACGTTAGTGTGACGTCTACTTTGGAAGGATATTCAAAGCGAATGCGCTCTGTTGAAAAGAGAAAGAGTACAGGGACACGAGAACCGTCCTTCGCCAATGTTAACGCCTAGAGAATATTCTCTGGCAGCGGGTTTCGCTCTTCTGTCGAGCGCTACACGTGGAACACTGAGGAAATGGCTTTTAGGTTTGAGGCTATCAGCCGTTATAAAATTCTTCTAAGAAGAGGGATATACCTTTAAGCGAAAAATCCCATAACATTAGCCGTGTTGTCATTAGTTCAAAACTAGTGAAAGACGGCATACTGTGGTGGGGTTCACTGATAATTGTGACAATCGAATCAATGAAAGCCAGGTTGGATTCAGCCTTGGTTTCGGATGCAATAATCACAACGAATTGTGGCCAAATGTCAGGACAACGAAATGCAAATCGGTGATCGGATACGAATGCTTTTAATTGACTTGAAAACCGCATTTGACGCCGTTGATAGTGCCAGCACGTGGCACCACCCCTTACGAAATCGCTCTGCCGTGACTTTCGACTCGGAGCAAGAGTCCAAGTTCCGTGAAACAAACAAATGGAAAGCAACAGATTTGTCATATATCACCCGTTCCTCTTCAAGATTAAGAGATAAATGCCCACTTAGCCTTTTCTGGAGTAGAATCAAGGCAGGGTTCCAAACTGGTTAATCCAGAGTGGGTGCGAAAGTCCAAACTCCTGTTTGGATAGAACCCATCCCCCCTCCCGGTCGCAAAACCTAAACTCTGGCTACGCTACGTGGACGATACCTGTCATCTTAAAGCGCTCTAAACTGGAACAAACACATCAGCTAATAAACAACACGTTTGTTGGTATCCGATTCACTAAAGAAGAAGAGAGTAATTGTCAGCTACCATTCTTGGATGTTTTAGTAGAAAGATATGCTGATGGACAACTGGAGACAACAGTTTATCGGAAAGCGACGCATACAGATCAAATCCCGAATTATCGCAGCAATCATCCAACAGCCTACAAGCGCAGCTGTGTAACAACTCTATTTAAAAGAGCTCAGACACACTGCAACACCCCGCAGCTGAGGAAAGCGGAGGAAGATCATCTATTCGAAATGTTTACACGGAATAGGTATACTAGGAATTTCATTCTACGTTGTTAAACATCAATAAAACGACCGACGCATGAACAAACATCAGAAACGGATAAAAGGACAATCATTCTATCACACATAAAGGGCGTCTCTGAGATGGCGGCGAGACTGCTACTACCTTTCGGAATCAGTTGCTCACAAGCCGACAGAAACTATCCGAGACAAGCTCTTCAATGGTAAGGACCGGTGTGATTTACAAAATCCACTGCAAAAATGGTAACAAATACTATATGGGTCAGACAGGAAGAAAGCTCGACACTACGCTACATGAGCATAGCCTAGCCATTCGCCGACATGACCAGAACTCCCTGATGTCGGTACATATGGACGCCGAGAATCATCAGTTTGATTTGGAGAATGTCAGGATCATAAGCAGGGCAAAAAGTCGAAAATTACGCGAGTTTATGGAGGCTTGGTACTCAGGGAAAAACTCAATCAACAGACGATTAGATCTAGATATTGCCTATGAAGCACTGAGGATCGAATCAATACTTCGTCCCAGATCAACAGGACAAAGGAACGTCATTGAGGCGGAATCTAGCCAACAGTACGCAAGAGCTGACTACACGGTCAGCGCACGTGGACCAATTGACTCCTGTGATGATCGAATCAAGTTAGCAATAACTACATGGATCTGTAAGTGGCCCGCATACATCGCACTGATGATGTCGTCTAGCCTGACGATGACGACGTTTGTAGCCAAATCAGCCAACTCGGAGAACACCCGCATACCCTCACCCCTTGAACAAGTGCTTATGGATATATTAAGGTGCTGTGATGCACCATCGAAGTCCAAGGTAGTGTATGGAGTGAAGAATGGTGCATCATTGGCTTAAGATGCCATTGTACAGCCTCAGGAAGCGGTCGCTCAGTTTACTCATCTCGGAAGTCGCATCATGTTTTGTGGTCATAACACTGAGGAGGTTACCACCACCGGGGTGTCCATTTCCATGGCTACAGTCACCTCCGCCGTCGGCAAGGTAGCAATCTGTCAGACTATGGCACGGTGCATACCGAGGACCCAGATTTGAATTACAGTCGAAGAAACCAAGAAACCTGCAGTTTGCGATCACCGGTGGTTCCTGGGCATTACACATATAGGAGTATAGGTAGATCAGTAGTCACCTGATGTCGAACTGAGGCGTCTATTATATTCGAACCGCCTACGTTGATTTCTCGGATTTCTGCATAAGTATTGGATGTACACCTCAAAGTGTAATACTTCCGCTGCTGTACTTAGGTAGGTAAAATAACGGAGTGGTCCTTCGACATTTCGGCACAGGGCGTAAGGGATCAATCACATAAAAGTGGGTAAAGACCGTGTCCGATACAGTGCACGGTCGAGTAGGTAGCAGAGCTTCTACATTCGTTCGCTTGCATCTGCATGTCGACCTCCTGGTCCAACTAAGTTTGCCGACCGCTGTCTTCGTTTTGTATTTGGGGTACAACGATTGGTTGACGAGTCTATCTAGCTGGGTGTTCGGATAATAGGTGTGTTGAAGAATTGCAGTGAAGCCGATCACTTGTTAGTCATCTAGATTGGTCGAGGGCCATCAATAGGGTGTGCCGGAAAAGACAAAGTGGACTGCTGTTCGCATGTAGCAGAGGGATAAGAGCAGGTTATAATATGCAGCTGTGCAAGCCCCAGTGTAACAGCTAAAGACGATGGTGCTATGTTTTCGGGAAAATGGAACTCAGTAGGACGTGATCAACAACACAGATGCATGAATTATAAGAAAGTTTACTGAAGAGAGAACAAGTTCAACCAAAGCACACAGCGGGATCAGTAACACGCTTGTCGCTCACCTGAGTGTTTCAATCAAATGGTTTTTGAGCATCAGAACCTCCACGATCTCCTCATCGCAAAATTTCAGTCTCTGTACACAAGGTGAATGAAACCATCACAAAATACCAGAACACAGGCGATGGGGGATTGCGATCAAATGAACAAGACCAATCACGAAGCAATTTACCAATGGGGATTGAGAGGTTAAGGCGCGCCAGTAGCCACGAGTGGAGAACAGGGTTCAACTGGTCAGAATTAGTTGATGTAGTTATGATGGGGTCAAGTGCGGCACAAGTTTGACTTGAGCCGTGTTGTAACGTTTCCTAGTTGTCTCGACTCGTAATCGGAACGCACGAACGTTCTACAAAGATAGTACCTCATGTGCGCAGAATAGCCACTCGAAATCGGAACGTTCCGGGCTAAACTGGAGCTAGCCGCCAGACGTAAATGCGAGCTGAGACTGGAGAGGAAAATCACGAACCATAGCACGACTACCCTGAGGCCCAGAGGAGAAAAGAAGACCGGACATTAGCGAAAGCCCTTTCATTCAGTCAGCCAAGACGAGGCAAGCCTTCTACACCTTCATATGGTTGGCGGCATCCGGTTTCGGATTTGCGTGTCACAGGACGCCTGCGCCTATAGAGGAACCATGGGTGGCTTGCGCTGCACCACCCACACATCCCTGATCCAGTGGAAACCCGAAGGAATAAGACCGGGAGCCATGTGGTTGGAAGTCACGTTTCATCAACGGAGCCGGCCCACACTCCTTCACAGACAAGCACGAGCATGATGTAACTGGGAATCAATCACACACAAGGCGGTGGCTGGACCACAGTCCGCTCCACACTGACTGTATGGAACCAATGATCCTAACATGGCCACAAGGATCATGCACCCCGTCCCCTCCAGCAACGACCAACTGTCTCCTGGAGCCAGTATGGACGAGGTAGTGGGTAATAGACAGGTAGGCACCTTGTCAACATGCACATCAAGCGCAGCCACACCGGGGATATCAAGCAACAACAAGTCACTTGAAACGACGATATCAAATAAAAAAAATCGAATAATGCACAGAGATACGGTGATATCTCAAGAAATGAGCACAAGAAATAAATTGTTTGTCAACAAAGCCGCAATAATTTCAAGACGTCAGAGAATCTATTTACGGATAATGTCACAAACGCGAAAATGTTATTGAAGTTAACTACAATCAGCTTAAGCGACGTGTGCAAGCAAATATAAGGTAGTTCAGGTAGGCATTAATATGAGAATTAAAAAATGCATGCGGACAATATAGCAAACTCACCACTTCAAATAAAGAGACTACGCATGCAAGCACGCGATTAGTAAATCGAATGCAGCGTGTCTACAAACGCTGCGCCGGTTCTGCCTACGTTCTCTGCAGGACCTGTCGTCGCTTCTGTGGTGGTCCCGAGTGACCTTGCTCATGGCCCATTAGGCCTGCCTGAATCAGGCACTCGCGACCACATGTGCTACAACACCATGCGCTCGATGTCGATGGAGTACAACCCATCGGTGCTTGCCGCTTCTTCTCTGCATGCATGAGGTCTTTTTCCCGCACCACGGCAACTGCCTTCATGATCAGATCACGCCAATCAACCGCCTTCGATTCCCATGACATGCAATCAAGATTAGAACGTGAGATGCTCACTTTGATCATGTCCTGGTAACGAAGCTTCGGTTTTCCCACATGCTGCTTCCCGATACTCAGCTAACCATATAATAGTTGCTTCGGTATCCGCGTCGAATCCATACGGCTCACATGACCGAGCCACCTCAGGTGTCTTAGCAAGAGTATACAATCCACTGCATACATTCCACTTCGGCGCAACACTTTCTTGTCCGCAACGCTGTCGCACCAACCGATACGCAAAATCCGTCGCAAACACTGTTGTCCGAACCGCTCGAGATATCGCACATCCCGCTGGTACATGGTAAACGTTTCACTACCGTATAGAAGAACGGACAGCACCATGGATTTTTATACCATTAGTTTCGTGCCAACGGTAAGCTGATGGTTGTTCCACACTCGGTACTCAAGCTTCCCGAATGTCGCCGCCGCTTTCGAAACGCGGATACGAAGCTCACTCTGTCGCTGCTGGTCACTCGACATCACACTCCCAATGTAGCGGAAGCGGGAGGTGGTTTCCAGTACTTCAGCACCAATGCTGATTCGCGACAAGATTGAAGATTGCACCTCCGGTGAAGGCTGAAAGAGACAGACAGTTTTGCTTGTGTTGTTGATGAGCCCGAATTTGGCCGCTGTTGAAGCCAGAGCACTAGTCATGTGCTGCAACTCATCCGCGCTGTGTGAAAACAACGCACAGTCGTCAGCAAACAGCAACATACGGATAGTTGTCTCACAGACTAGAGTTCTCGCACCGAAACGACGGATGTTCAGGAACCCACCATCAATACGGTGCTCCACACGAACACCGTTAGCACAAGCGGCATCAAAAGCACAAGACATCATTGTATGAAGATAAATATTAAACGGGGCAGGAGCTAAGACACAGCGTTGCTTCACACCAGAGACAACTGCAAATTCATCCGATGTCTCTCCACTCAGCTGCATCTTCGTCCGTATGCCAATGCGCAAACATTCAATTAAACTTACAAACTTACTCGGACAACCAAACTTACCCAACACCAGACACGATACCCTGTGGTTCACCGTATCAAATGCTTTGGTGAAATCAACAAAAAGCGAGTACAACGGCTAGTGTCGTTCTCTACAGTTCTCCTGCAACTGTCGAGCCGCAAACACCATACCTATGGTGCTGCGACCCGAGCGGAATCCACACTGCTCTGCCGCCACATTCTGTTCCACAACCTGACTGACGAAGCAGTTGAGCAGGATTCGGGCAATCACCTTGCCCATACAACGCATCAAGTTGGTATCACGATATTTCGTGCAACACTGTTTGCTCTCTTTTCCCTTGTACAGTGGTAGCACAAGAGTATCCTTAAGCTCAGGAGGCACCTCTTCAATCCAGACGCGTTGCACCAAGTGGTGCTGCGCATTCACAAAAACAGGTGCGCCGTGTTTCAATACTTCAGGCGGGATCCCGTCGTCCCAGACACACTTGCCTTTTTAAAGCTGAGCAAGTGCTCTCTGAGCCTCATCCAGTCACGGCGTCTCCGCCAGACTCGTCTTCACATCGTGCTGCTTCACGCAGTTCAAGGAACGCCAGTTGATCTCTGAATGGATGTTCAAAAGACAGTGAAATTGTTTTTGCCAGATCGACATTACGTCTGCAGTCTGTGTGCAGGTAACGCCTGAACTACCATGCAGTAGCGTACGCAGCGGCTCCAATCTCGGTCATCCCACCGCTTTCAAGGAGTCAAAAATTCCCTGTGTTAGCAGTATTTGCCGTAGCATTCCATCTGCCTCGCCTTCTCCGTCCACCATGCATTCCTTTGTGTGACGTAGCTCTCGGGTCAGTCGCCGTCGAAGTTTGCGAAACTGACTAATCTTCCGCAAGTCGATGGGATCTGCCACAAGTGCAGCAAATTCTGCACTCGTCTCCGACACTAATGCGTCAGTCGTCGCATTGTTCTCATCAAACCAGTCAAGTCACTTACAGTTTTCGCGCCCTATGGTCTCCTCGGCAGAAGCTGTCACCTAGTCGCGAATGTGGTGCCACAGGTCGCCCACTGTGGCTGCGCATTCCACATCACACAGACATCGCCTTCTCCAGACCAATATGTTTCGCCACAGTACCGAGGGAATGTTAAAATTACACCGATCCACGACGGGAGTGCAATACACAGATTTACGAAAATATATGTAGAGTTTGGTCCGCACCAACTTGTGATCAGTGCCACACTCAGCTCCACGCAGTACACGTGTCATGCGCACTTCACGCATATCACGCTGACGTACGACGAGATAGACGAGCAGGTGAGCGTGACCACTCCTTGGATGCGTCCAAGTTGCTATATCATTCAAAGATGACATCTGTCCACACCGATGCATCAAGCCCAATGCGCGTTGAAATCACCCAAAAGAAATAATCGGCCGCTCCTCGTCACAGACCGGATCAGAGAGAATAACCGAGTGTAGAATTGATCACGCGTGTCCTCAGGATAACACATGGTGGCAAAGTTACCTCCTCCGAGTCGTAGACGAGCAGTCATCAGTCGCGCGATGATGCCTGTGCTCACCCACGAACTGGCCATGGAGGCGATCGGATATTGCAAATCCGACCCCATGTTCACGTGGTGCTGAGACGGCGTTGCTCACCCAATAAAGTGTGTGGCCAGCACCTGCTTCATGCAACTTACCTTGCCCAGCGAGCCGGGTCCCACTGAGCGCCGCAATATCGATGTTGTAGCGTGCCAGCTCCATCGCGACCAGTTCAGTGCGTCGCTTAGGGAGCTCACTCGAGTTCCGGTCCAGTAGTGTGAGCACATTCCAGCACCCGATGCTGAGTGCTTTGCGCGCAGGCATACGATTGCATTGGTGGGCAATCGCACGTGAGGTGCAGGTTGTGCTTCGGAGGTTTACTTGAGGGATTTCACCCGGAGCCATTGGATTGACAGCCTGACCCATAAGGCGGTGGGTTGTTTGGAGATTTGTTTGAGGGATTCCGGTCGGAGCCTTTGGATCAATGGCCTGATCCACAAATCCGTGGATTGTTTGGTTTACTTGAGGGACTCCGCCCGGAGCCTTTGGCTCAATAGCCTGACCCACAAGGCAGTGGGTGTAGATCCAGCTCGAAAATGTGATTGCTGAGACAGATTGGGATCTACTTGACGGCCGTCATATGCAGCCTTTGAGGTACTGGAAGGATTCTTATGTTTTGCGACCGCGGTAGGATACACACCTGCGACGACGGCCAGATGCAGGTGGGTTTTGGTGGGTTTGCACCAATTCGACCAGGGGCTGCCTAGCTTGAGGCGGACAGTAGCAAACCATTGAACACCCGGATGTACCCTCCCACCGTCAGAGACAATGCGTGGCGTTCGTGCTCTACGCCAATCGAGCTGTGAGCTTATAACCCGTAGACCTGTTGTCTCCCATGACTAGGTTTTACGGGAAGAGGGCCACTGGCCACTTTCTAACCT